GTTCTGGCCTTGGCAATTTTCCTTACAGTGAAATTTGCCAAAAGACCTGAGATGCCATAGCTATACTCCTGGATAAAAGTACTTACTTACACACCGTCTTAATGGTTTCCTTCTCTTGCTGTCTCCCACGTACCCTTTGCAGAGCTGTACTTTCGTGCACTTAAAAAGTTAGAAATGTTAGTGACTAGAATCTGGATGAAACTTAAACGTCATCTCTTCATTCATCCTTAGAAAGCTATTTTATATGTCATGCTTTTATCTCTGGGAAGTGATGGAAGCCTCTGTGTCCTTGAATGTTTTTGGAAATAATTGCACTGTAGGATATTAACATGCGCTCACAGGGCAGTGAACCAAAGCTAAATGGCATTGAGGTCCTTTTGTTGTTCTAGCTAAGCACCCTGATTTTCAGATGCTTGTGAATTTTCATTCTGCAATTCCTGTTGTGAGTCCAGCTTCCCGTGCCTCTTCCTTGCAACCCCCTGTAACTGTCTCTTCTCCTCTGCTGCAGCACTAGGCTGACTTTGCCTGCAGTCCTGACTTGATGTTTTTCCTGATGGGTTGCACAGCAGGTCCTTGCTCTGAGCTCTGGGTGTACAGAAGGAAAAGAAAGAATAGCCTTGTGGTCAAGGTATTAGCCTGAAACTTGGATTTTATACCCTTTGTCAGACTGTTTTGTTACAGTTCTCAGAAGTCCCTTAGGGAATGGTTGACAAAAGGTATTTTGTCTCCTAGTTACTTTTTGAAATCAATGTGAGACTGTATGTTTAAATGTCTGTATGAGCTTTATCCTGTATATGTTTGTTTATTGTCTACAAATTAGAGGCCAGTGCTTTCTTACCTCATAGGACTGTGGGGGAGCAAAAGGAGGGATAGCTATTTTTCAGGAAGATCTCTATACCAGGTATAAGAGAGAGGCCCTCTGTATTTAACCTCACCTCTCCTCTGAACCTTCTTCCATGATAACATCTCCTTGAATAGATAATCTCCTCCTCCTAATATGCATATTTATGTACACACACATTTTCTTGTATGTATACATGCATGCATGGAATGTATATATAGGGCATAGGAATGTATATGTAATAAATATTATTTATGTACTTCATCTAGTATTTTTAATATATAAAATTATTTTAATCTTGAATACTTTGTGTAACCCACTGCTTTTACATTCAGTTAATGTTTGTTAAGGCTGGGCCATAAGCATATCCGCAGATTGCAGAAAGAAGTTGGTGTTTTGCCCAGAGTTAGTGGTTGCTGTGCTAATGTCTTTCCTCACCATCCATGCAGCTTATGTTCGGACTGTTTCTGATTAATAAAATGTTGGTCCCTTGGCTGCTTCCTACCACATGTGTTAAAGCTGGATGGATGGATCTGAACTGCAGCCATTGCTAGATAGAAAACAGCTTTCAAACATGCAATTTAAAGGAAGAAACAAACAATTTATATATGGTTGAAAGGGCACAGATAATAAGGTAACTAAGTTCTGAGTAAAATGGTCCCTAAGCATTCTTTTCCTGCCTCACAGAAAAAGTGCTTTGAGATCAGTTTATGTAGAGATCACAATATCCTTGCACAACCCTGCTCAAATTTTCCTCCAGATAGAGAAGAAGCTTTAATATGAATTGTTTCTGTATAGGGAGTCACGGTTTTTAGGCTCACATAGTGCTTCACTCACTAGCAGTCATTCTGATTTGTCTTTTTAAGATTAGTGATTGTTTTTTCCCTGTTATTAAACCAGAATGTAAAAATATTGCCCAATTAGAAAGCATTATGGTGTGTTTATAAGTACCCTTGAATGTACTTTTATCCGCTGGGAGCATGCAGATGTCTGCTGTAATTTAATTTCTCTGCAGCACGTTGGGGGTGGGGACAGAAGAGAAGTAGCCAGAAAATTATGGTTGCTGCAGTAAATACCGGGCTTCTCCCAGTGACCTGCACTGACTGCAGAGCATAGTAAGTCTAATGTAAGCATAAGACATCTGTTCAGCAATGCTCTTCTCTGGCTGGTCAATTTGTACATTTGTACTGGTCAATTTGTACAAATGCATAAATTTGTAAAATTTATGCATTTTTGGCTGATTGTCATGGGGGGCTGTGAAGAAAAGGGGTGTTACTTTTTAAAGCTTATTGTAAAAAAGATGTTATGAAATACCTGCAAGGCAGCACTGCTCATTAAGCATTGGCAACCTTGCTTTACCTCTGTGGACTGGTCCCTTCTGAGCTCCAGCATCATAGGTGCACAGGCCAGGAATCCTGTGGGTCGGTTGTGTAGCAGGCAGCCTGGGTGGTGAATAAGGCTGCTGTTTCAGAAAGCTAACTTGAGAGTCCCCTAAGACCAAATTCAGTCTGTGTTGTCAGGTGATGGGTGACACTGCTATAATGCAGAGCTGGTGAACCTTGTGCTCTCAATCTAGCAATTCCTTCTATGGAGCGCAGTGCTGTTGCTGGTACATGGAGTGTGCTCTCCTTGACCCGGGCCATCAAAGGTGAATCCAGGGCACTGCCTTCAACAGCTTGTGATTTTGCTTGATTTCAGTAACTGTTAGCAGAGCTGTCACTTCCACTGAAGTGGATTTTACTTGAATGAAAGAGGTGCAGCAGCACTGGTCATTTGTGCTTTGCTGGAGGTTTTACCCCATTAGGCTACAGAGCTGCAGTGAGTGCAGCTGAACAATGTGACTGTCATGGAGGCAACTCCCCAGAACTGTGACGTCTGTATAATACAGCAGTTCCTGGGCTGGTTGTACCCAGCCTGGTTTGGCTGACTCCCTTACAACCTGGTAAGCTGGCTAACGGGTGTCTCTGAATGGTGGGCAGAGTAACAGCTACATGGACGGAGTATAAAGCTGTTCGAGGTCACCAGCATTCTTTTATCTGGTTTGCTGGCTCTGTAGCTGCTGTTGTTAGATACAGGAATAAAATGCTTCTTTGTCAGGGGATGTTTCACATATTGAACAACACCTAGTTTGGGTGTGTTAATTTTTTTTTTTTTTTAATGTATTTCTGAAGGGGTTCCTGGCAGGTAGGTATGAGCCACCAGCCTGAGCCGTTCTTCAGTTCTTTTGTACCGATGCTTTTGAGTCTATGCCTGTTTTAGTATATTTCCTAGGGAAGTGGCCCAGAGAGGATTATTCACACCTTGGATAAAATTTACTATTTTATTAGCAGTAGCTTCAGTATCTCCAATTTTCAGCATTTGATGAAGATGCAGAGTTTGTTTTTTTTTTATTTTTTTTTTATTTTTCTAGAAAGCCTTTGCTTGTGTTTCCATGTGTGGATCTTGTTTCCATGGCATCAATCTTCAAGCTTGAGAAGCATAGGTGGGAGCATTAGCCAGTGAATAGGTGTTAGGAACCTATTCTGTTGTGCTGTGCTGTTGTGCTGTGCTCCTCTGTAGGGCTCTGGCTTGTGGCAAGGATAATGATGTGGCATATGATGATTATTTATGCATTTTAACAGTCAGGGCTTAAAGCTTTGCCTCTCTGCAGTGTTGTGGAATAGAAGACTTGATGCAGTCCTGGTAGTGCTCTTGCAAAGGCATTGCTTTTCCTGCTGCTTTGTCTTGATTTTTCTCAAGATGAGGCTGTGCTGGAGTGTGCTGTGACTTGAATTATTTTTCTTGCCTTGTTTTCCCAAGTGCTTTCATGTCCTGGCTGAGCAGCTCTATCCTAAAGAGTCTGCTTTGTCTTCTTTGCTGTTGTTGCATTGGGATGGTACTGATCAAATGTTTTCATCTCAGAGTTGTGGTATGGGTACATCATGAGCAGCGATGGTTGCAGTGTTTATCTGTAACAGAATTGATCAAGCTAGTCTGTGTGTCAGTCTTGGGTATTTTGTTTTCTAGTAAATGCTCAACCACAGTGAGCTGAGTGCAAGGACTGTTGCTAGGTTCTATGGTTTTATGTTACACAGACATTGAGTTGATTGTAGCTGTTTCTCTGGCCATAAAAACTATAAAGTTATACACTCACAAAACTACATAAAATTTTGATGGTATAGACTTTTTTTTAATATAATTGAGCATATGCTTTATATTTTATCATTGCAGATGTACTTTTAAGAAGTAGAAGAATGTGCTTATTAATTTTCTCCAGTATATGTAATGGGTAATCAGGTGCAAGATAGTGAACCAGATACCGGATCTGAGGGGATTGCTTGTTTTAATTTAAAACTTGAGGGCACTCAGCAGAATAACTTTGTGTTAGATGTCTGTGTTATGTCACTTATGCCAGCAGTGACATTGCAAAAGAATTCAGTTGTAGAGACAAGTCCTTGCAGTAGGTTCTTGTTACCTACTGCATGTTGCCATTGTTTGTGAAGAGCTTAGGAAGGCTTTGTGAATGCTGCTGTGTGATATATGCTAAAGTAACTTCGATATTTTTTCCCCTGCAGCTTATGAAAATGAAACCAGCTTGCTGCTAATAGAAGAGCTGAGTTCTGTGGTATTTTGCTCCATTCTAGATGAATGACCATAGGGATCATATCGTTTCAGGTTTATCACGCTGAGTCTGTATGCTTGTGCAGTTCTTCAGGGATCATCTGGAAAAACAGCATAGATAAGAGAAGTTGAGATCTTCATCACCCTTTCAGTTCCCAGCTGTCTCTGCATGGCTCTGATGTTGCAAAGGCTTAATCTGTGTTTGCTCTGTACCTATAAATAGTCTTGTTGGATCCAGTGGATGTTGTCAAGGGTGTGATGTTTTTTGCGGAACTGTGCCCAGTCTTGCTCCTAAGGATTGAAATGTCAGTGGTGACTGCATTTTGAAAAGAAAATGCCTTTTTATTAACAAAACAAAGATACCTCCCTCCCCCATGAAGCCCCTTAGTAAGACTGCAAATGAAATTTCATTTAAAAGTGAGAGCACTTCAACCTTGATTCTGCATCCTACAAATTGTAGTTGTTTGTTTCAGGTTAATTTTTAATTTCCTGACATAATTGTGGTTGTCTTCCTACTGTTAAGCAGGTTCTCTTTAATTCATTCATATTTCCTTTTCAGATCGCATGTGGCTCAGAGCATAATCTGGCAGTAGTTGGTAAGTAGCTTAATTTTATATCAACTCCTCTCACCTTTTTTCATGTTTAAGTAGTGCAAGATGAAAGGAAAATATGCACATCAAGCATACCGAGTGATTAAGGGCATTGTGTGCAGCAGAAAAGAGGAAAGTAACATATAAATGTGGAGGAAAGAAGAGAAACCAGTATCGTAAGTGGATATGATGAAAAGTGCCTTTATTGACCAGTCCCTGTAAGAAGAGAAGGGTCCATACATCAAACGGCAAAATACAGTCGCAAAATGCTGCAGTATGTTTTAGAATGGAGCCATCGCAACAATTCAAGCTGAAGACTTAGAGTGGCATCAAGCTGGTCAAAAGTATCTTTGTTTAACATGAAAATTGTCAGTGAAATAAATCCTGGGTCTTCTGCTGTTCAAAGCTTGGAAAATCTTCAAAACGTCAGTCACTGGTAGTCGGGTTCTTTAGTGGGTCGCAGTATAATGCAGCTGTTGTAATAATTATGAAAGTACTAGGAAGCTCATGTCAGTGGAAAAATTGAACTTTGTGTGCCAATTCCAGGAACAATCGGATTGTTGCTTTCATGTGATGAGTTGATAATTGAAGTTTGATACATTTAAGTAAGTGTATTATAAATGCATGTTTAAGAACATTTTAAAATGTAGATTTTTCAGGTGCTTTATAAAGGAAGTCAGAATAATTATCCTCATTAATAGGGTGAGAGAGATGAAGAAAGGAATTCTGTACTCATCAGAACTGGAAATGAAACGGTCTTCTAAGTTTCAGTATAGCACTCCATCCACACAGACATTTTTGATTGCTGTGGCTGATGTTGAGATGTTAAGTAAAGAATTTTCTTTATTTTCTTAAGTGTGGTATGACAGGTGTGGAAAAAACCAGCTATTTGGTATCCAACCTGCATTCTGTGTCCTAATTTTTATGGTATTTATTTAAACTTGTTGTCTTGATGAGTTTCAGTAAGAAACCACAGAAGTAGTGTTCTGTCTATGTAGTAAATTTTCATATATACTGTAGTATATTTTCCAATTATCCTTCTGTAGTTAAAACCTGCAGAGAACTTGTGAAGCTCTACTTAGTTTATACCTGGCTTTAAGAAAAGATTTTTCCTTTAGCTTCTCCCTACTCACTCAGTGTCACATGCCTGTATTAATTGTCAGCCTGGTGCTTCTGAACGTCAGCTGAAGAGCAATCTTGTTTCTTGCTGAATTGATGAACTGAAAGTGTACTGCTAGCAGATTCCTCCAGTGTACATGAAGGCAAAACATAGAGTTTGACCAACCTTCTCTCCCTTTATGTCCTTTTAACCTTTCTGCCTCCTAGGCAGAAAACTCTGAAAAAAAAATGGGTAGGGGAAGGAAATTCTAGAAATTACAATAAACTAAGAACTTAGCATATGTAAAGAACATCATATGCCTAAGCTGTGTGCTACACTTACTGACTTCAATGCGAAAATTACCAATGCTGGAAGCCAGTCAGTTTTATTTTAAGGGACAACAAGGACGTGATGTTACTATTTTTTTTGAACTAAGCAACTATGATACATTTCAGTCCAGAAATTAATTTTTACATGTGCTTTTAAGAGGTTGACTTTTTAGAATATTCTGTGGCAGGATTTCTCTCATCACTTGTCATTCTTAGTTCAAAGCTGTCAACTGTTATATTCCTTAAAGATATCACACAGACTTCCATATATATGTATACTTGATTGTACAATTTTCTAATAACTTATCATTCACACAGAGTTTATTTAGGACAACTATCTCATCAGTTTCATGTTTAATTAGTAAACGCTTGAATGATAGTCTTTAAGACTGAAATAAGTCAAATTCAATATGCAAGGTAAACTGAAAAAAAGCTTTTAGCAGCATAATATTCATGTCACTATTTCTGATTGTATATACAAATATATTTGTACTTTTTTTGCTGCATCTTTTAAATAGAAACATTTTTAAGAGAGAGATATTGGATAGATTTATGACTCATTTCACAAATGCTGAAGTTTTGTTCCAGTCATCTTGCTGATACAAACTGATTTGTAGGGCTAGCAAGCAGTTAGTTTTTTTCATGTTACTTTATATAGTCTGCATCCATTTGTATTTTTTTAATTGCTTGAATTCTCTTTTCTTGCCTTCTGCTGAAGTCAGTGCAAAGTTTGGCTATTTCTTCATTGTGATGGCACTGACTCCTTTTTTTTGGAGGGTAAATCGGAAGAAGTTCAGTTTTCATTTGGTTATGTGGTGAATTTGATATAAAGGAAAAGGAGTTGAGGGATGTCTCCAAACATATCTGTTTCTAAACTTGATGAGTTGAACATAATAATTAGTACATGAAACAGTGTAAACATCTTCACTTCTAGCTCTTGGTGAAAACACATTTTTGTTTTGGTTTGGGGTTGTCCTGTTGTTCTAATTCTAAAATTTGCAAGTATTGTAATACTTCTTGTGTTTGTATCACTTCTCACTTGAAAATGAAATCCCTGCCTAATAAGAATAAACCTCACACTTTTCATCTCAATCAAGGATTAATTATCATGGGAGCCAGCATATTTTTGACTAAAAAATGAATAGTTATTTAATAAATGTTGTATAACATCTCATATCTGAAAAATATCTTCCAACACTGAAACCTTGTATGAACTTACTGGGCAAAACAAAGGCTGGCTTTTCAGCCTGAGTGTATGATAGCTGCACTGTGGAGCACTGAACTTCATGATATTAAGACAGAATCTTTGAATGACTGAAATGCATAAGGGAACTAAATCATTGTGATGAAGTTGAGCTTTTCCAGGTTTGGGAGTCTGTAGTCTTTGCAGCACTGAAAAAATAAGGAGATTTGATTCTTACCCTGAAAAGCATGTGACTAAAAATGGCATTTATGGGGAAGACTCTTACTGCTCACCACTAAGACTTTGATCCTCCTTTTTTAAAAAAGAGAATAAATATCTTTTAAGAGAGCGCTTAGCATGCCGTATGTAGCTCATGCAATGCTGCAACTTAAATAAGGAACATTAACTATGCAGAAATAGAGTAGATATAAAATGTATGCCTGTCTTGACTGTAACCACAAGGCACAGGACAGAATGCCTTGAAGGGCCTCCGCATGCAAATGTCTTATTTTAATGAAGTACAGAAATTTTATTCAAGCCTTCTTGAAGTAGTAGAAAACAAAAAAAAAAGAAAGAAATAATTTGAATCATTGGCAAAACCTTGGTAAAGCGTAATGTCCCTCTTTGATCTTGCTTTTAAGTCATTTTCTCAATCTGTATGAACCAATAAAAATCTAAGAGAAAGATACTGGAGAAAGTATGGGGAGAAATGCTTGTTTTAAAAGCAGCTCTAAAACCTGATTAGCTTCAGTTAAGTGTAGCTTTAAAGCAGCCTTCAAAGTGGTATTTGAGTCCCCTTGACTGTACATTTATAAAAAGTTACTTCTTACCTGGTCTGTACATGCCTACAGTAGTGCAGTGGCTGATACCAAATCTAGCTAGTGATTTTTCTGCTAATACAATGGGTAACTTGGACACTTTAAATATTTGTGTGCATTTGGAAGAGAAAGACATGGACCTTTCAAGTAAACAGTTTTTCAGGTATGGTGTCTTAAAGGGGAAAAGTGTTTAGACGCACAGCTACTTCAAATGGTGCAAATGGCATTTCCTTACACTTTCATAATCAGCATGGTGAATTCTGACTTGTGGTCAGGACTATGTTATTGTGTTCCATGGAGGATTTAAAGATAGTCCACAAATCCCTGCTGTGTAGTCACACACGCTGCAGAAGCAGTTAGTGCAGGTGACAATGGTACAGCAGTATTCACAAGAAGAATCTGGGCTTTGTGATTACTGTTGTTGTGCAGTTACTCCCTTGATACTTGTCTCTGTCTCCTTTAGACTTTTTTCTTTTCAGGTTACCTACTTAGCACTGCTTTTTCCCCATGAGTAATGGTAGTGGAGGGGCACTATGTGACTAATTTTATAACAACAAAAAAAAACAAACAGCCCACAATGCTGAAGTTGGCCGTGCGACCATAAGCATATTTTGCACATGGAAGCAGAAATGACATGTGAGGAGATAAGCCCCTGTCTGATCACACTGATCCCCATTTCAGTGTGTTCAATACGACAGTGTTCTAATATAACATTTTAAAAATCACTTCTCAACTTTCTGCTAAGTAATAGGCCCATCCAGAACAGGGTTAGTTTTGTCTTCCGCTGCCTTTTATGTTTGTTTCATTTTAGAACATGTGATCTCTTTCATGCTTCTGTCTTCTCTGTGGCTTATGTGCAGCCACTGCTGTAATATCATGACATGGGCAGTCACATCTCTCTGAAGCTGCAGTTCATCCAGTTGGAGAGTAAACAGTAATACTAAATTTAATGGTAGAGTAGTCTTTGTACAAGACATCAGGATAAAATATTCCTCCACTCAAATGGCAGGTCCTACTTCAAGTGCTCTGAAGTGTGCAGTAGCATTAGAGGGACAGTAAAAGAATTATTTTTCCATGATCTGTTAAAATTTGCTCTTTATGTTCTTATGCTGGAACAACATAGCAGTTATGAGCTGGAAAATAAATGTGATTAAAATGATCCCAAACTTAGGAAGTTGATGATACAGATCCTAAAATAATGGTGATGTTTTTGCCATCCCAGACACTTTGGTTCCACATTTTTTAATAAAGGTTCTTAGATGGGAGCCACTACCTCTTAATGAACAAGGTCATGTTCTTTTAGTGAAGTCCCGTGATTGCACCTAGCTTATTATATAAAACATCATTGAGGAAGTACTGTAACAGGTTATGAAAGGCATATTCCTACGGCAGAGTGAGCACCGATGGCAAGAGGAGACTGTGCAGGCTGATGGATGGAGCTCTGTGTTATGCTGACAGTATTATTTAGATGTTCACAGCAGCCCTACGAAGGGGCGGATGTAGTCATGTGTCTGACATTCAGTGCTGGGGGACTCAGCAGTCTGTCATAAAGAGAAAAATCATAAATTTTCTCTCTGCCTT